CAATCGACAGATGATCCAGAATATTAGTGCTGTTTTACCAGGAGCACGAGCCATTGAGCCAGCCAATAGCATTCTCCTTGGCGCTCCTCTTGGGTCCAGTGCAATCGATCTGATCCTAGAAAAAAAAAATCTCAGACCTCCGGATGATGGAAGGCAGGATGAAAGACATTGATACACATTATGCCTTCTATCTACTCACCACGTGCCTGTCAATCCCAAAACTTACCTACTTTCTGAGATGCTCCCCTGCCTTCAGCAGTCCGAAACTCAAGGAATATGACTTTCTCCTTAAGACCATGCTAGAGAGAGTATTGAATCTTTCCCTGGAAGATGGACAGTGCTTGCAAGCCTCACTTCCGGCCAGGCTTGAGGGGCTGGGAGTACGCAGATCTCCCAGATTGCTCTACCAGCTTTACTATCCTCTTCCATAGCATCATATGAGTTAATAAGACAAATTCTTCCTGATAGCCTCAGTGACTCAGCAGGAATACAGTGCCAGTGCCATTGCTGAATGGTAGACTCTTGCTGCGCCAGCACCAAACCCTAATGCAGCAATGGCTCACAAGCAGTCAAGCTGGGATGGCTCGATCACTGAAAAGGTGCTTGCCAACATGCTCAGGGCTGTAACATCAGACAGGGAGACTGTCTGTCTCCAGGCTGTGAGCACACCTCACTCTGGGGACTTCCTCCAAACAGTTCCCATATCGGCAATGGGAGCACGCCTCGACCCTAAGACCCTCCATATTGCAATGGCACTGTGCCTAGCTGCCCCAATTCACGCGAAATATACGTGTATTTGCGGCGAAGCACAAACTGACCAATATGGTCTACATGGTCTTAACTGTTCCAAAACCAAGGGCTGGCATGCAAGACACAATGAGGTCAATGACATCATAAAGAGAACCCTTGCTACAGCTGGATGCCTAGCCGAGAAGAAGCCCCAATCACTAGCAGCCAACAATACCCACAACCCAGCAAACTGCCCTGAGGAGACCACCATCTATCCTTGGAAGAATGGCACGCTCTTAGCATGGGACTCTACCTGTGTCCACACTGGCTGACACCTATATCCGTCACAGTGTCGGGCGACAGGGAGGAGCTGCTGACCACAGGGAGGAGTACAAGATCAGCAGGTACAGGGATGTAAGCCAACAGTATCAGTTTGTCCCAGTGGGATCAGGGATCTTGGGATCATGGGTAAAAAATGCCACACGTTTTTTTAAAGAATTGGGTTCCAGACTCGTTGACACCACCAGCGCTTCAGCGTGGCCATCCAGAGGGGAAATGCTTGCTGCATACTTGGCTCGTGTCTGGCTTTGGAGGAGCTGGAGGAAATCCATAATCTTTAATATATTGTACCATTGTATTCATGATTCTGTTTTCTGTAAATGTATTCTGTCTATTAATAAATTTTCCCATAGAATATAAAATATAGGGGGTGGTAGAAGAAAATATTCAAACAGCTCCGGGGAGAACCTTGAGTTTTCCCAGGTACGTTTATTGTCTTCTCTGAGGATGAGGGTCCCCAGTCCAGTTATAGAGGTGGTACCTCCCTATATTTTAGTAATAAAAAATATATATATATATATTATATATACACACATACATACATACATGGTTCAATTTGCAAATAGATGTTACCCTACCTTAGCAGCCAGGCCCTGTCTTAAAGTATACTACCACCCTCCCCGGGATTGGACCCACAACAGGTGGCTAACACTCAGGTACGTACTCAGAACAGCAACAGTTGTTAACGGGGTTAACAAATGTAAGGAAACATAAATAACAGTTCCACCCATTCCAGAGATTGAACCACAACCCTCAGTATGTGAGCTGTGATGACTGTTGTGGTGCTGCTTCTTTTATAGTGCCTGTTTTTATTATGGTACATATTGCTGCTTTTTTCTTTTTACACTTTCACGTCACTGCAAGTGCCGGATCAACTCGGTTGTAATGGCTGTGTGGGCCTGCAGGCTGCTTGCATAAAGAGCCTGGTTGATTGGGAAGCCTGTCCTCAGGTCGAGTTGCGGGGGTAGAAGAGAACTCGAAACTGGTCACAGGTAAAAATCACAAATAGTGGTGCTGCCAGTGTATTAGTGGTGCCAAGTACAGCACAGTGGAGATGCGGGCTACACCAGTGATTGGAGCACTGTCTTGTGTGCTGGTGGTATGGATTACATCCGGTGTCCGATGACATGTCAGACCATACCGCCAGTAGGTTTAGTTCCACATTGTGATGGCCTTTTCCTTACATTTTCATCAGTTTATAACCTATCTTCCTCCTACGAGGTTTTTGCTGCTGCTGCTTCTTTCCTTTCTCCACTTTCGTGCTAGTTGATTATCAACTTGAATTCTTCCAGCTGGTCGTCTGTTTGCTTACATTGATTTCCCAGGATGCCACTCACAACAGTCAACCGAACACTTGAGGTATCTATTTAACTGCTAGGTAGGCGAAGGCAGGAAACCCAGGATGATGATGCGCCCTGAGTGTTCTGACCAGTGAGAACGAACGAACGAACGAGAATCTAGGTAAGACCCCTGTGGGATGAGCGGGGAAGATGGGACAGGCTAAGAATAAATAGCGTTGGAGAGGAGTGTCTTCAGTTGCTAATAAAATGACAGGGCTAAACCCAGCAGCTAAGCGCTTGTGGAGCGATGTGGAGAACAGCAACAGGAGGAAACAGGCTATGCTGGCAGCGGAGTTATACATTAGAGGTCGGCAGGCTTGGTCGCAGGAGAGGGCAACAGACAGGATCTCAGGAGAAGGCAGCTTACTCGTAGATGTTAATTGTACTGATAATTAAGGTGGAGGACCAGTGAGTAGAATGTGGTCACTTATAATCCTCATGGGGTTAGCGCTGAACCCTTGATGGTCAAACAGCGCCTCGGAAAAAAAGGAAGCTGAAGGTAGCTCCAGTTACTTGGAGAGGGTATGCAGGGCCAGATCCCCACCTCCCCCAGTCTTCCTCCTCAAGTTTCTTCTTTCAGAGTGCTAAAGATGCTGGTACAGTAATGGTTTACACAGGTGTTCTCACCTTACATGCATCTCGGTCTCATTGTTCACCCCGGAATCCAAGCTAGA